GGGACATCTAGTCATTGAGTTTATATCTGAAGATACATCTAGTCATTGAATTTATATCTCTAGAGAAATCTAGTTATTGAGTTTATATCTGTAAAGACATTTCAAACATGAAATTATAGTGTCATTATGATTCATTATTCATACATTTGCTATTCACAGGAATCTCAAATCAAACGCATATTTGGTACAATGATAAATCAGAAGCTACAAGACTTTGAGGAGGATGTGAAACCCATTGGTGACATCATGACCCAAGCCACAATTGAGATGTATCAAACAATTGTTCAGAGATTCCTACCCACACCTGCCAAGATTCACTATCTCTTTAACATGAGAGACATTTCTCGTGTCTTTCAAGGCTTGTTGAGATCACAGAGAGATTATTATGACACCAAGCAAAGTATGACCAGGCTTTGGATTCATGAATGTTTTAGGTAAATATTACTACTCTGTAAAAAACAAAATTATTTTGCTGCTGCTTCACAAATAAGTTTTATTTAATCATGGTTTTGTTTTGTTTATTAGGGTATTTTCTGATCGTCTGGTTGGTGTTGATGACAATGAATTATTTGTCTCTATTCTGAGTGAAAAGCTTGGCTTGCTCTTTGATCAAACTTTTCATAACATCTGTCCCAATAAACAACCACCAATATTTGGTAAGTCACACATATTCACAGTTATTACCTTACTTGAGTTACTTTGCTGTGTTAATTTAGTTCAAGAGATAATTAACTTACACTCTCATTCATGATTTCTAGGTAACTTCATGTCCCCTGGAGATGTGCCAATATATGAAGATTTGCATAATTTTAAAGCTCTGAAGGAATTCATGGAAAATTCTTTGGAAGACTACAACACAACACCTGGTGTTATTTCTATGGATCTAGTTCTATTTAGAGATGCCATGGAACATGGTGAGTATACCTGTGTATGAGAAATTCTTAAATGAGACAGTATGTCATAAAAACATCTCTTTTAGGAGTTTAATACCATAAACAAATAGTGTAAGTTTTTGAATTAATACCAGACGTTACAAATACCAGAAATTGGGATTAGAATGTTTACATGTTTTATGTAGATCATCATATTGAGAAAGTATTGTTTTCATTTCAGTCACTCGCATCGTACGTGTTATAGGACAACCACGTGGGAACATGTTATTGATTGGTATTGGTGGTAGTGGACGTCAAAGTTTGACACGACTTGCATCAGCCATCTGTGAATATCACACATTTCAAATTGAAATCACAAGACACTACAGAAAGACGGAATTCAGAGATGGTAAAGTTGTTATACAGACAGTATTTGATTATTTTATGTACCATTTTGGATAAATTTCTTGACAGAATTAGTAAATGTGAGACTAAATGTATTGATATATAGCACCCAATATAAATGAATTAGAGACAGCTGTATGTGTAAATTAACTCATATTGATGCCTCCAGATATGATTCATTGCAGTATGACATGGTTTTCTCACATCTAACCTTTTTAAATTTCTAGATTTGAAACTACTATATTACCAAGCTGGTGTTGAAAACAAACCATCGGTGTTTCTATTCAATGATACACAAGTTGTAGAAGAATCATTTTTGGAAGACATAAATAATATCCTAAGTAGCGGTGAAGTGCCTAACTTGTACAAAGCTGATGAATTTGAAGAAGTTAGAACTGCTCTGGCAGAAGAAGCTAAAAAAAATAACATTCAAGACACACCAGAAGTAATGTTTGCGTATTTTATTGAAAGAGTACGTACTAATTTGCATGTTGTACTCTGTATGAGTCCTGTTGGAGATCCATTCAGGTTAGTCTTTTCAT